TTTTTTTTTTTTTTTTTTATACTTGTTTTTAGTATATGCATGCAGGAGTCAACTCAGAAACACGGTATTGTATTAAATAAGTGGTTGGATCTCTCACTGATATCGCGTAAACCCCTAATATAAATTATTATTACTTTTTAATAAATGAAGTTAAAGCGGATATATGGTTTACCCCTCATCCCCACCTAACACAACCCGACCCGACCCTCCGTACAAGTGAAAGAGTACCCTACACCCTTATCTCATTTGTGCTTATATATATGCGTGCACTTCTTGTAAAGTTCCTCACAGAAATTTAAGGAGTATTTCATCTTCCATCTACTATTTACTATTGATATCATTAATTAATTGAGTACTTGGAGAGTGAAAGAGTGGAACTATTTAGGGTGTATAAGAGATATATATAGAATGGGAAAAGAGATAATGAAAGCAGAAACTGCTGAGGAGACAACCTTCAACTGGTCATCGGATGAGGAAATTACAAAGATGCCTTTGTTAGCATTGAATCATGTTTCGTTTGTTTGCAAATCTGTTCCCAAAAGTGTCCAATTCTATGAGCAAGTTCTTGGCTTTGTTCTAATCCAGAGACCCTCTTCCTTTGATTTTGATGGAGCTTGGTAAATACACCTATTCTCTGTTTAATTTTTACTTGCATTTCTCCTAACATTTGAGAACTTATGACAATTTGGGTTGATTTTTCAGGTTATTCAACCATGGAATTGGAATACATTTGCTAGGAAAAGAAGATGCACCATCAAAGAAGGGAAAGATAAACCCAAAAGACAATCACATTTCATTTCAATGCTCTGATATGAACCTCATTATTGAGAGATTGGAAGAGTTGAAGATTGAGTATGTAACAGCAACTGTGAAAGAAGGTGGAGTCACTGTGGATCAACTCTTCTTTCATGATCCAGATGGCAACATGATTGAGATATGCAATTGCCAAAATATACCAATTCTTCCACTTTCCTCTTGTCCTCTCAAGAAGTTCAACAAATATCCAACCTTCAACCAAACCATGCCTAATTCTTTTTACGGTATGCATGTCTCTTCTTATTGTTTCAGTATTTTACCCATGATCTCTTAGAAAAAAGACTTTAACTAACTAATATACACCACTAGTGTAAAATAATTTGTATACATATCCACTGCTAGGTTATTCAAAAGATAATTATAGGTAACGGTGTGTATAAACTGAATTAGTCACTTGAAAATTAATTAGTACGAAAAGTAACATATGGTAGTACAACATATTAAAATTCACTAAAATAGTTTGTTTTGAAATGAGGACAAGATTTTTTACCAAAAGACCTGCTTAAGTTTGATTAATTCAACGGCACTGGAAAGAGAAGAATTAGACGTACGTTAACCTTGTATTTTATAGTAACATTAGTCTAATTCTTGTGTGTTTGAAAATGCAGGCAATGGAACCACTAAGATGAATTGCTTAGGGGAAATGGAATATCTGATGATGGAGAACTTAGCCATGAACATGATAGACATTTCATTTTGAATATTTATGCATATCTTGTACGGGACGATTCTTACCTAATTCAATAAAATAAATACACAAATTTCACCTGTTAAGATAATAGAGGCTCATTGTACTATTGATAGTTACTTCATAGATTAATCAAACCAGTTTATAAGAGGATATGAGGGTTCAAATATATCTCTCTCTCAAACTCTATATATACATATAATTTTAATAACAAAAATATTTAATATTGGAATAATAATGACAAGCAAAACTTAGAATGAAAATAAGAAAAAATTTATATAGCTATCTATTTACCCTTAAAATTGGATAACAATTAAACTTATAATATGGTTTTAAGGACACGTAATTTCACTTAATATTAATTGATAAATATAAAGATTAATAGTAGAAATTAGCAATGAGATAAAGCAAACCAGCGTTTGAATAGAATTCAGCCCTCGAGCTTGAATACCCTCGAGCTGATTGGTACAAGAACATTTAAAAATATAACAAGCTGACGAACAAGAATATGAGCTAAAGAGAGTGTTACATTGCTTTGATACGTGAGAACAATCTCTCTTACAAATGATTAGAACTCCCTTTATATAGTAGATGAATTCTACTTAAGGTACAATTCTATATATGGAAGGAAATCCATGATTAGATGAACAACCGGTCTTGACTTGATTCGCGCCAAGATTCTTGCCACGATCCTTGGCAGATCTCGGATGTCTCGATTTTCTATTACTCGACTTAGCTTCGATCTCCATTTTATTTGGTCTCGGTCTTGGTCGACCTCGAGCTTAATCGGTTCTAGGGTCTCGATAACTTAGCCCCGCGCTATAGATAAAAATCAAGGTCCAAACTTGATCTACCACGTTCTAGCCTTGGTCAGTTGAACAAAAAGGGGCATCCCGATTTTGACCGTATATAGATAGTCCCCTAGTTTTTTGGAGTGTAATGATAAGAAACGAATTGAGTCCGAGTTCCTTTGCTTGTTCTTCTCAAAGCACCAAATATTCCAATCTCTATTCTTCCTTGCTCACAAAAACAAAATGGCCAAAACATCTAAAACTGTTCTACAAAAGGAAACTGCACAGGTTTGGGAAAAGGAGGTTGCGGAGCGTGCCAAGTGTCAGTCTCGGTGGAAGGCCCTTGAAAAAACCCATGCTGGGGGCTTTGATCTTTCGACCGAGATCGATGGACCTCGAATGACCATTTGAACTAGAGTTTGAGTAGCTCTTAGGCTTAACAGACGAGTGAGGATTCGCCCGAACTCGAAGTTAAGATAGCCCTTAGGCTTTATAAATAGTCCCCGAGTGAGAGTTTACTCGAACTCGGGTTAGGATAGCCCTTGGGCTTTTATGATCGGGTGAGGACTTGTTCAAACTTATATTAAAGGTAGCCCTTAGGCTTTATCGATAGTCCCTGATCGAGAGTTTGCTCGAACTCGGGTTAAGATAGCCCTTGGGCTTTTATAATCGAGTGAGGACTTGCTCGAACTCGAAGTGAAGTTAGCCCTTAGGCTTTATAGTCGAGTGAGGATTTGCTCGAACTTGAAGTAAAGTTAGTCCTTAGGCTTTATAGTCGAGTGAGGATTTGCTCGAACTTGAAGTAAAGTTAGTCCTTAGGCTTTATAGATAGTCCCCGAGTGAGAGTTTGCTCAAACTCGGGTTAGGATAGCCTTTGGGCTTTTATGATCGAGTGAGGACTTGCACGAACTCATAAAAAATTAGCCATTAGGCTTTATTTATAGTCCCCGAGCAAGAGTTTGCTCAAACTCGGGTTAAGATAGTCATTGGGATTTTATGATCGAGTGAGGACTTGCTCGAACTCGAAGTGAAGTTAGCCCTTAGGCTTTATAGTCGAGTGAGGATTTGCTCGAACTCAAAGTAAAGTTAGCCCTTAGGCTTTATAGATAGCCCCCGAGTGAGAGTTTCCTCGAACTCAGGTTAGGATAGCCCTTGGGCTTTTATGATCAAGTGAGGACTTGCTCGAACTCGAAATAAAGTTAGCCCTTAGGCTTTATAGATAGTCCCCGAGTGAGAGTTTGCTCGAACTTGGGTTAGGATAGCCCTTGGGCTTTTATGATTGGGTGAGGACATGTTCAAACTCGAAGTAAAGTTAGCCCTTAGGCTTTATAGATAGTCCCCGAGCGAGAGTTCGCTCGAACTCAGGTTAAAATAGCCCTTGGGCTTTTATGATCGAGTGAGAACTTGCTCGAACTCGAAGTGAAGTTAGCCCTTAGGCTTTATAGTCGAGTGAGAATTTGCTCGAACTCAAAGTAAAGTTAGCCCTTAGGCTTTATAGATAGTCCCCGAGTGAGAGTTTGCTCGAACTCGGGTTAAGATAGCCCTTGGGCTTTTATGATCGAGTGAAGACTTGCTTGAACTTGAAGTGAAGTTAGCCCTTAGACTTTTGTATTTGTTACGGATTTCGAACGTCTCTGATCCGCGTTAATTTGGCTGTAGCCTCTTTAGTTTGGAACCTTACCTGTGGGCTTATTTTCCGTTTCACTTCGAGCTTGCCCGAAGTGTCAGTCCCTGAGTGGGGTGGCCGTGGACTATAAAATCAAGGGTCGCCTTTAAGGTCTTATATTCTCGAAATTTTAGTAGTTAAATTTCGTTTGTTTTTCGGGCGGTAGTCCTCAAGCGTGGGGTTAGTTGTTTGAACTTCCGTCATGATCGGCCCTTAAGCCAGTTTACATAATAGATCAAGAGTATGAAGCAGGAAATTCTTCTAAAGGCATGAGATATCAGCAAAGAAAAATACTTCTCTCAATAGATGATTATATATGCATGCATGTTTGATGTTAGGGCTCGAATAACCTATATGGGCACGGTTCGTTTGACCCTTACATCATTTTTCTATCAAGGCCCTGCTGTCACGAAGTAATTTCCTTGCAATAAAGTAGACATTCGAGTTTAATGCCCCCCAGTAATTGAGGCTTATTGTGGGGAACCTCGGATACTGTTGAATTGCTCTAAGTTAGCACGAACAATGGTTGCCTCGTTAAAAAGCTCACCGAAAAAACCCATTTGGGACAAAAACCGGTCTAAGGGAAAAAGAGTGCAACGCGTGCCTTAAGATCCAAAGCATTGTGCTGATCCTTGTCGATAGCCTGCAAGTGCTAGTCGAAAGAATAGAAAGAATAGGAATGGTGTCGTACCTTCATTCGGATTTTGGATATTTAACGTGATCTCCCTCAGCATCAAGACCCCGTGATCTTTGACATTGATCGTTTCTCCTCTCATTTCGTGTGAAGCTTTACCCAGACCCGCTGCTTCTACGGTCTCCATTGTATAGTCGATATCGATCTCTATTCGACCTTGGCTTTCGATCGATGTCCCTTTTGATCCTATCCATGGGATTGTTAGGATAAACGGACCTGGGAGGGGTCCCCAGTTGATCATCCTCTACCCTGATCTACGACTGATATCGATTATGTACGTTGTCCCAAGTGACAGCTGGGTACATGATCAAATTTGCTTCAACAACTGTGAAGCTATGGAATTTCGTTTGTTGAGACCTTGAGTGAAGGCTTGAACAGCCCAATCGTCGGTGACCGGTGGCAGATCCATTCGTTCCATTTGAAATCGAGATACAAATTCCCTGAGCATCTCATTGTCTTTTTGCCTTACCTAGAATAGGTCTGACTTTCTAGTTGCAACCTTAATGGCTCCAGCGTGCGCCTTTACAAAGGAATCTGTAAGCATAGCAAATGAATCAATAGAATTAGGTAGTAAATTATGGTACCATACAATGGCACCCTTTGATAGAGCTTCTCCGAATTTATTCAGTAACACATATTCAATCTCGTCATCTTCCAAGTCATTTGTCATGACCCAAACCTATCACGCCCCGAACCATGGTCTGGGCGTAATACGACACTATGTGCCTGACTGCATGTGACCGAGCGAACCAACTGTATGGTTGGATCAACATGTGGTATAACTATGAGCTAGAGGTAAATATAAAACATGACAATCTACTAAAGAGTCTGACTGGAATATTATAGATGCGGAAAATACTGAAAGGTCTACAAGTATAAACAAGTAGCCGACAAGGCTAACACATGAAAGCCTGCTAATATCTGACTGAATGGGTTATAGTCTACGAAACCTCTAAAGAAAACTGAAAATGCTAACTGTTTACCGGGACAAGGTCCCCGGTATACCTTATTAACTGAAATACTATAATGACTAAAACAAAAGAGAGATAAGGCCTCGAAAGACTGGGGCTCATCAATAGCTGATACGAGATGTCCTAGAAAGCAGAATCGTCAACCTAAAATCGTTACCTGCATCGCGAGATACAGACCCCGGGCAAAAAGGGACGTCAGTACATTTGAATTGCACTGGCATGTAAAGCAACTGAAAGAAAGAATTAAAAATGCTGAAACTGAAATTAAGCTGATAACTGAAAATTGATAATTGATAACTATTGAAACTAAAATGATAACTGATAACTGAACTGATGCTGAAACTGAAACTGAACTGCTAGCTGATAAACTGATAACTAAACAAGGAAGTAAAGATATGAATACTCACTCTTCTAAATGATGAACAACCTATTTAACTGATACACTACGCCCTTGGGACCAATATATATATATGTGCACAAGCTACGACCTCAAGCCCAAGTATACGTATACATAACTATGGCCTCAGGCCCAAAAATGCATAAAGCATAAACTACGGCCTCAGGCCCAAACATGTATAAAGCATAAACTACGGCCTCAGGACCAAATACAAGTGTTCAACATTGAGGAATTCAGAATCAGGAACTGAGAATCATACTGCAATACATGATACTGAAACAATGAGCCATACTGAGTTACATGATACTAGAAAAGTGAATAGGATTAGACTGAGATGAGTATTCATAATAAGTTGATTTGTCATTACTGAAACTCATAGAATATCGAATGATTATGAAACTATGTCATCTAGAGAATAGAAGTTCTACTACTATTCATGGAACCAAGGCATAATTACTTTTTGAGGAAACTAGTAATGGTCATAATGAATGGGACGTATGGAGAATCATAGACATTCCCAAACGTAAAAAGTTAGCCTTACATACCTCACTTTCGCCTCTTAGTGATACTACAATGATCCACAATACTAAGAACCTTCAATCTATAATAGCAACATCCAATGGAACCCAATATTAGTAACAAATTCCATAACTTAAGCCATTTAGGCATATTATCAAATACCTTGTAGGCATAAATCTCTACTTCTCAGTACCATATAATTAGTTCATCTAACTACCACCATTCATCAATAATTTATTTCACCATCATGATTAACCAATTTATAACTTCCAAAATCACATATATGGCCATCCATCCACACCCAACCAACAAAGTTCCATTAAATAAACATCTTTCAATCTCTATAATAGTTGTATAATCAAATTGGGAACTTATGGCTTCCAATCACCATACCAAGAGTTCCAATACTTATTCATACTCATATTCCCTTAATAAATCCATACATGTAAGTCTAAGGGTGTAAGATTACCATTTTGGAAGAAATCTTGCAAAACCCTCCTTTGAGTTCTTGAAGAAATCCCTTGAAGATCTAAGTATTTTATGTGTAGATTTCATCAATACTCGTGTATAAATGATGGAATTCACACCAAGATAATGGGAATTGCTTACCTTGAAGATGTGAAGGATTGGAGGTCTTGAGAGAGTGGAGGAAAACCCTAAAATTCTCTCAAATGAAGTGGGAAAAATAACCCCCAAAGGTTTTATATCAAAATAGGGTCGGGTTGAAAAAAAACAAAGATTTGCACAGCCGCGGCGCATGGGGAGATGCATGGTGTGGCGCGGTAATGAAAAATATATCTAGAAACGAAATTTAGAGGTGCTCTGTTAATCTACACAGCCGCGCTGCACGGGGTAACGCATGGGGCGGCGCGGTAGTGTAAAATTCTGTGAGCCTTTTGTAATTTGGTCATAACTTCTGGTAGGAGTGTCCAAATGATGAACGGTTTGAAGCGTTAGAAACTAGACTCAAATATATTTCTTTTGATATGTTGTGCATCAGATAAAACCTTATATAAATATAGATATGCTCGTGCAAAGTTTGGTCTTGTGCGTGCTCATTTGGAATTTTAGTCTATCATGAAATTTTCAAACTTGACTTAGACTTAGGCCTCTCCTTGGACCCTAAATCACTTATGATATGCCTCACACACTTATTATCATAACAAATTGATAACCATCACATTAATACTCATTTAATTCATCCACAATTGATTCAAATTTACGGGTGTTACATTATCTCCCCCTTGGGATCATTCATCCTCGAATGATTGTCCTGGATGCAACTACGACTATCTATGGAAATTAAACGGGTGAGATGGAGATATGAGAATACTAAATATCATGAATACATGTATATCAAACTGAACGAGCACATGATCACTAAATACTAAGCCGAGTAAATACTAAAGGACATGGAGATTATAATATAAGACCTGAATGGAAAGGTTAATTACCTTCTACATTTTCCTTTTTCTCTTAAAAGAGATGGGGATATATGGACTTTATGTCCTCCTCGGCTTCCCATGTAGCCTCTTCAACCTTTCTATTTCTCCAAAGCACTTTTACTGAAGCAATTTCCTTAGTTTTGAGCTTGCGTATTTGAAAATCAAGAATAGACACTGGAATTTCTTCATAAGACAGGCTGTCTTTAACCCCTATAATCTCTGTTGGAACCACAAGTGACGGGTCTCCCATGAATTTCTTCAACATGGACACATGAAACACTGGGTGTACAACAGCTAATTCTTGTGGCAATTCTAACTCATAAGCCACCTATCTGATTCTTCACATGATTCTATATGGACCAATATAGCGGGGACTAAGCAAACTAGAGAGCTTTGTATGGTGCCATCCTGATTCTATTCGAACCAACCAATTAGTGATCTACACCTTCGCCCATACAGAGCTTTGTATGGTGCCATCCTGATACTAGAGTGATAACTTTTATTATAAGCAAACTCAATGAGAGGTAGATGATCGTCCCAATTACCTTTAAAATCAATAACACACGCCCTCAACATATCCTCAAGAGTCTGAATGGTGCGTTCCTCCTGGCCATCTGTCTGAGGATGAAAAGTGGTGCTAAGGTTCACCCTTGTGCCCAATCCCTTCTGAAAGGATTTCCAAAAGTTTACTGTGAACTGAGCACCACGATCTAAGATAATGGACAAAGGAGTCCCATGCAATCAGACAATTTCTTTGATATACAACTTGGCATAATCCTCGGCCGAATTTGTAGTCTTCATTGGCAAGAAGTGAGCTGACTTGGTAAGTCGGTCTACAATCACCCAAATCAAATCATGCTTCCGGAACGAGCGAGGTAGACCTGTTATGAAGTCCATGTTTATCATCTCCCATTTCCAAATGGGAATTTCTATATTCTGAGTTAAACCGCCAGGTCTCTGGTGTTCGGTTTTCACCTATTGACAATTTGGACACTTAGCTACGAAATCTGCTATATTCTTTTTCATATCGTTCCAGCAATAAACCTTTTTAAGATCATGATACATCTTTGTGGAACCTGGGTGAATAGAATACCTGGAATTGTGGGCTTCTAACATAATCTGCTCTCTGAGCCCATCTACGTCTGGAACGCATAGTCTACCTCTGTACCTCAAAGTACCATCATCTCCCCTTTTTTCAAAAGTCATAGTCTTGTGTTTGTGAATTCCTCCTTCATCTGCAATAAGTAGGGATCATTGAACTGTTTTTCCTTTACTTCGGCTACTAAGAAGGTTTCAGCCCTGTTCTGGAGAACAACGCCACCGTCTTCGGAGTCCAAAAGTCGAACTCCTAGACTTGCTAAGTGGTGGACTTCCTTCATCATAGTTCGCTTGTCTGCCTCAACATGAGCTAAGTTTCCCATAGAACGCCGACTGAGAGTATCAGCAACAACATTTGCTTTCCCTAGATGATAGAGGATATCAACATCATAATTTTTAAGTAATTCGAGCCACCTTCTCTGACGTAGATTTAATTATCTTTACTTGAAGATGTACTGGAGACTCTTGTGATCTGTAAAAATGTCAACATGTACCTCATACAAATAATGACACCAGATCTTAAGTGCAAATACCACAGGTGCTAATTCAAGATCATGAGTTGGATAATTATTCTCGTGAGCCTTGAGTTGTCTCGACGCGTAGGCTATGACTTTACCGTGCTGCATTAATACATACCCAAGACCAACCCCTGAAGCATCACAATAAATAACAAACCCTTCAGTTCCTTCCGCTAGTGTCAGGACTGGAGCTGAAGTGAACCTCTTCTTTAACTCCTCAAAACTTTTCTCGCACGCGTCCGACCATTGAAACTTGACTTTCTTCTGAGTTAATCTAGTCAAAGGGGACGAGATAGAAGAAAATCCCTCTACGAAACGCCTATAATAGCCTGCTAGACCCAAGAAACTTCTTATATCTGATATTGAGGTGGGTCTATGCCAATTCTTCACTGCCTCTATTTTCTAAAAGTCCATCTTCACGCCTTCCCCTGAGATGACATGGCCCAAAAATGCTACTAATTTCAACCAGAATTCACACTTAGAAAATTTTGCATATAGCTTGTGATCTTGAAGTGTCTACAACACAATTCTAAGATGTTCTGCATGGTCAGTCTCGCTACGGGAATAAATCAAGATGTCATCAATAAACACGATAACGAACAAATCAAGATAAGGCTTGAAGACCTATTCATAAGGTCCATGAAAGTTGCGGGTGCATTCGTTAAACTGAATGATATTACCAAAAATCCGAAATGCCCATATCGAATCCTAAAAGCTATTTTTGGAATATCAACTTCCTTAACCTTCAACTGATGGTATCTCGATCTGAGGTCAATCTTGGAATAACACTGGGCACCCTGAAGTTTGATCAAATAAATCATCTATTATGGGAAGAGGGTACTTGTTCTTGATGGTGACTTTATTCAACTGACGATAGTCAATGCACATACACTTCTTTAGGAAAAACAAGACCGGTGCACCCCAAGGTGAGACACTTGGTCTTATAAACCCCTTATCTAGAAGATTTTCAACTGAACTTTTAACTCTTTCAACTCTACTGGAGCCATTCTATAAGGCGGAATAGATATCGGCTTAGTGCCTAAAAGTAGATCAATTCCGAAGTCAATCTCTCTATCGGGAGGGATTCTAGGGAGATCTTCGGGAAACACATCTAGAAACTCATTTACAATTGGTACCGACTGGAGAGTGGGGATCTGAGCATCTACATCCTTAACTCAAACCAGGTGATAGATATATCCCTTGGAGATCATCTTTCTGGCTTTAAGATAGGAAACAAACCTATCCCTAGGTGTTACTACATCACCCTCCCATTCTAAGACTGGTTCACCAAGAAATGCAAAACTTACTATTTTGGTTCTACAACCCACTGTGGCATAACGAGACTCTAACCAATCCATGCCCATGATCACATCGAAGTCTACCATCTCCACTTCTACTAAGTCTGCTGCAGTAAGACGATGATACATTTGACTGAACATCCCCTATAGATACACCTTGTTATAACTAATTCTCCAACTAGAGTGGACACTTCAAAGGGTTCACACAATTTTTCTGGTTCTATCCCAAATTTCTTAGCAATATATGGGGTTACATAAGATAGGGTGGACCCCGGATCTATAAGAGCATATACATCAAAAGTGAATATTGTTAGCATACATGTGACAACATCTCCACGAGCCTCTGTATCCTGATGGCCTGCCAGTGCATACAAGCAGTTTCGACCACCGCCTACATTACTAGACTTTGCTGCACCGCGCCCTTGTTAGGCCCGAGAGTTATGAGGGGCTACTGAATTAGTGGACTGAGCTACATTGCCTCCATTGTTCTACTTTGCTGATGGACAATCCCTCAAGAAGTGGCCCTGCTGACCGCACCCAAAGCAGCCATTTGTGCCCAAATGACACACACTTAGATGCTTCTTACCACACGTGTTGCAAGTAGGGTACTCAAGGCCTCTATAGTCCACATTAGTCTGTGACTGTGAGCCTGCTGCTCTGAAATTTTGGGTTTTCTTGTTAAACTTGGACCTCTGAATCGGTGCACTAGCTAAAGATGGAATGGGTCCTGATTTTAATTTCCTAAAGAACTACGATTGCCTCCTGCTTGAGATCACCCATGGCTGAAATTTTCTGCAGACTTAGCTCTCTTGCTGAATTCCCTATCCTTCTCTTTTTGTAGCCGCTCTTCTTCTTTCAACCTGTCTTCATTCCCTTGAAAAAAGGCAACCATCTTAGTGATGGTCATGTCATTATTCTGAGCAGGTATATTAGCATCAGTAAACAAATCATCTGAAAATCCCAACATAAACCGCCTAACTCTGGCCCTCATATCACGTACCATTTTTGGAGCATACTTGGCCAGAGAGACGAACTTGAGGTAGTACTCATTCACACTCATATCATTCTGTCTGAGTTTCTCAAACTCTAAAGCCTTAGCTTTCAAGACCTCAATGGGTAGAAAATGCTCAAGGAATGCATCAGCAAACTCCTTCCGCTCGGGACTCTTCCCATGTTTCATACCAAGTGTTGGAAATATCCTTAAGCTGGTACGCAGCAAGATCTACTGCCTCAGTGTCTGTAGCATGCATCACTCGAAATATCTTCTGAACCTCATCAATGAAGTTTTGCGAATCCTCATCCTTTTTGGACCCTGTGAAGATGGGAGGTTTCATGTTGAGGAATTCCCTAGACCTGGAACTACCCGTCTCATGAACATCACTTGTTCCCTGCCTTTGAGCCTGAGTAGCAACAATCTGGGTGAGCAACTAGATAGCTCCCCTGACATCCATGTCTGATGCACTGGGCATTGATCCCGATGCAAACCCCTAGGCTGGAGTGTCCTCCTCCTAAGCAGCATTAGTCGTAGCCCTCTGGCTAGTAGCTGAGGCCCTCCTGGTGTAATTTCTTTTTGCAAGCATTTTTCTGAAATAGGCAATTCGCACGGGTTAGAAAGATTCCTGAAAGCATAGCTCTAACTACATGATCTAGAGTATGAAAGAAATGGAACAATCCTAGATGTCTTGGCGGTCAACTGTTTACATGTGTGGCTCACACACACACATAAAAGAGACCCCACAGGACACGGCTTCATAGACTCCCTAGGACTCTTGAACCTAAATCTCTGATACCAAGTTTTGTCATGCCCCTAACCATGGTCTGGGCGTAACACGGCACTCGGTGCCTGACTGCGTGTAATCGAGCAAACCAACTGTATGGCTGGATCAACATGTGGTATAACTATGAGCTAGAGGTAAATATAAAACATGACAATCTACTAAAGAGACTGACTGAAATATCATAGATGCGGAAAATAATAAAAGGTTTGCAAGTATAAACAAGAAGCCGACAAAGCTAACACATGAAAGTCTGGTAAGCCTCTAAAGAATACTGAAAATGCTAACTGTTTACCGGGACAATATACCTTATTAACTGAAATACTATAATGACTAGAACAAAAGAGAGATAAGGCCCCGAAAGACTAGGGCTCACCAATAGCTGATACGAGATGTCCTAGCAAGAAGAATCGTCAACCTAAAAATCGTTACCTGCATCGCGAGATGCAGGCCCCGGGCAAAAAGGGACGTCAGTACATTTGAATTGCACTGGTATGCAAAGCAACTAAAAGAAAGAATTAAAAATGCTGAAACTGAAACTAAGCTGATAACTGAGAATTGATAATTGATAATTATTGAAAGTGAAATGATAACTGATAATTGAGCTGATACTGAAACTGAACTGCTAGCTGATAAACTAATAACTGAACAAGGAAGTAAGGATATGAATACTCACTCTTCTGAATGATGAACAACATGTTTAATTGATAGACTACGGCCTCCATCCCAATATATATATGTGCACAAGCTACGGCCTCAGGCCCAAGTATACGTATACATAACTACGGCATCAGACCCAAATACAGGTGTTCAACATTCAGGAATTTAGGATCAGAAACTGAGAATTGTGAGCACCTAATTTTTTATAATATTTAATTTTTTATCACTTCTTCTATGTAAATATTTTAGGGGTTTTAACCTACAATTTTTAGCTTTGTTACACTTTTTATTATAGGGTAAAAATACAAAATTTTAAAAGGTGAATTATTACTATTAATATTATTTTATTTTTATTTTTATTTTAAAATAAAAAAATCCGAAAAATATTAATTTTATTTTTAATTTCAGGAGTGATTTAAAAAATAAGAAAAAGGGAAGAATTGAATAAAAAAAATAAAGGTAAAAGTAGGTGGAATTCTCTTTTGAAAAGTAGAAAATTTAAAAAAAAAAGTAATGTTTTGTGAAAATTTTAAAAAAATAAAAAGTAAAAGAAAGTTGGAATTAGAAAATAAATATAAAGGTATCTGAAAATTAAAAAAAAATTAAAGTAAAAGAAAGTGGATTGTTTTTTTAAGAAAAGTTAATAAGTGGAATTCTCTTTTAAAAAGTAAAAAAAAAAAGTGGGATTTTAAATAAGATAAAAATAATTAACGTTGGAATTTAAAAAATAAAAGTAAAGAAAGGTGGGATTTCTTTTTATAAAAAAATAAAAGCAATTTGTAAGTGAGATTTTTTTTAATTAAA